AAAATGGTTGCAGGTGCGTCATCTTCTCTCCCCCCCCTTCCTGGGCAGGTGATGAGAGGCGAGCCTTCCTCCTTGCACCGGCATCTCTTCCTGGCCACCTGTATGCATTTTTCTACTATTGGGGGTGGGTGACTTCCCTTTTTTGGGTGTAGTGGTGGTGTATATGTTGGGGGGGGGAAGAGACCAGACCCAGGGGTTCCTGGCCCCCATTGCCTGCTGATCTGGTGAGATCTGGGCCCTGGCAGGTGTGGTGGGGGTCCTGGCCGTGGGATGGCAGGGGTTTGACCGGTGTGCCTCCGGTCAAAGGTCTCTCGTCCCGCCTGCCCTCGAACCCGGCGCAGAGTAAACAGGGGATGGCACACCTTTGTTTTTCCAAGTGTTCCGCCGTTGTTCGATTCTAATCACCATCTTTGATTGAGGGAGTGCCTTATTTATTTATTTTTAAATTTCCTTTGCCTTTTCTGTTTTGTTGCAATGAAGATACCGTTAGGATCGCAAGAAAGCATGGTCTGGGTTTGAAAAAGGGAATCGACAGGACCCATGGCATGGAAAGAGAGCCCCCAACCGCTGTGGCAGTCTATCCTGAGTGCCATATGCTGGAAAGGGGATGGTTTGAACCATCCAAAAGTCTTTTGCTGTTGATGGCTCAGCTGGCTTGCGGGGGGGGGGGTTCCTCCCTGTGCTTCATTTTCTAGCTTTTTAATTGGGCTTTGCATAATGGGTGTCTTGTCAACAACGTCTCCGGGGGAGACGTTGTCACTGCTAAGCGTTCCGGAGGTGTGCCGTTTAAGAGCGCTGATGTACCCCTTTCATCCTTGGCAGACAATCCTTTTTTATACCTTTTGATACCTGATGGCAGGAAACTCTTCGGCGGAGGCGCCTCCGATTTAAGTGTTGCTGATGCCTAGGAGGTTTTTTTGGGGGGGGCTTCCCCCTTCTTTTCACAACAGAGGACGTGCGGGTGTCCGTATTTACACACACGGCTGTCCCAAATGCAAAAAAACAAATCTTCCCCGCAGGTAAAGAACTAGCATATCAGGGATGGTGAGGAAGGCTGCTTTTCCTCCTCAACGGGCTCCTTTTTTCCATGGACAAAAATGTTTGCATCGAACGAAGGAGCCTTTAAAATGCAATGAAAAATTCAAACCAAAAAAAGGGGTATGGGGCAGCTTATGAAACATATCAGGTTACATTCCTGGGAAGCTTTACTCTGCCAGTTAGATCAATCCACCCACCCACCCATCGCTGTATCTCTCACTTTGATCCTCTGTCTCTCTTTCCCTTTATTTCTTGGATTTTTTTTCCCCACCCTCTCTGGAAGGAGTCATACCTTCTGTGTATGTTTTTTTTAAACAGGCCTTTTTTATTTTAATATTATTGTATTTATATTCTGCTTTTCCCCCTCTGCAAGTCAGAGTAGACAGCCTGTAAAAAGGACAGAACAAGCCCAAAACACAAATGGCTGTAATAGGAGTTAAAATATGTCAGAGATACAGGACACCTGAGTTCTTCAGAGGGTCTTTTTTTTGGGGGGGGGGAGATTGAGAGGTCTTCTGGAACCCTCTGACCCCCACCTCTCCCATAGGGTGGCTATTTGGCTTCTGATACATGATTTCCCTATCTAACAACCCCTTAACCAGACTTTATTCTTTTCTCTGTCAATCAAGAAATCATTTATTCCTAATACCTCAGCGTGTTAGGCCCAAGGTGTTGTTCCTCCTACAGGACTAGCAGCTTAAGTCCTCTTATTTGCTTCAAAACATTGCAACAACCTTTATTTTTAAAAAAAAAATGCATGGCCATCCTTTAATTTTTTTTAATATTTAACTTATTTTGTTCAACTCTGTTATAATTTTTTTTAATATTGTGAGCCGCCTTGGGTCCCCTTATCAGGAGAAAGGCAGCCTGTAAATGAAATGAACAAACAAATAAATATCTAACAACACCTTAAGACTGCACTTTGAACAGCTGAAAGCAAGTTTGAAAACAATTGAAAACAGAGTAACTAAAAGCTATTTAAAATAGTTTGAAATGGTGTACCTTCTAGCATTGATCATCATAATCATTAATGCAAATTGCTGGCTCAGTGAAAACAATAAAGAAAGGGTGCAAAAACTCATCTGCCTTAGCCAAGGAGACTGGGAAATGTAGTCCAAGATCTCTCGGTGCTGATAGATTGGTCTGCAAAACAGGGGCTTTATGACTGTTTTTCAGTTTTCATTCTGACTTGTGATTTTGCTTATTTTTTCTTTCTCCTCCCCCCCCTTCCAGGCCTTCTTCTCTATTCTGCTGTAGGAACAAACCACCGAAAACTGACGTGTTGGTTTCGGGACCTGGATTCGAATCCCCCTCACGGCTTTCTGTTCCCCCCTGCCTGCTTCCGCCAACCGGCCTCGCCTGCTTGCTCACTTGCGGGCTCTCCGCAGAGGGGGGATTGCTTGGCCTCTCGGGACTCGATATGATGAAGCCGTGGCGCCGGGCGCAGACCTCACATCACTATTGGGTGAGTAGCGAGAAGGGAGCCCTCTTTCATCCCCCGGGGTGGGTAACCAGGACGTTTTCTAGCCCCGGTGGTGTTGAGTGTCCCCTGTGCCAGTTTCGAACAAGGACCCTGGGATGGAGACGAGCAAGCCGGCGGATGTCTCTGCGATTTTTCTGTTTCCTGTTTCATTTGGAGGGTGTTTTTTTGGGGAGGGGGGAAAGATGGCAGTTTTCCCGTGCCCACACGCAGAGGGTGTCGGTAGGGTGGGGAGGCGTAGGTGAACACCCTCTCAGCAGGATGTGGTGTTCCCAGAAGCAGACCACAGCCCTGTCAAGAGGGGGGGAGTCTGTCTTCCCGGGGGGGGGAAGAAGGAACCCAGGAAAATCCAGTCCAGGGACCCGCCGAAAGGGTGCTGAGGCGGAGTCCGATGGGGCTGGGAAGATGAGGAAGGTGGCTGTCAGAAGGAGGCAGCGAGGAAGGAATGGTAGCCCCGGGAGCCTTCCTGAGGACTAGACACTTGAGCAGACCCTTCCCAAGCAGAGGCTGCCGGGAAGGCGGGTTTTTTTTGAGCGGCATCAGCTTCCTCTGGCCCACACATTTCCCAGCCCGGACCTTCTGCTTCCGGTGCCTTTGCACAGGTGGCTGATCAGCCGCCTCCTCATCTTTGGGGCTGAAATGCGTGCATCCCATAACAAGCCTTTCCATCTTCCAGGTCTCTGAGAGCTGAGCGGATCGTCGAACGACGTTACAGGCATGTCTTATTTTACGGACCATTTCTGGGTAAGAAACTCCATTCCAGGAAGGGCGAAGGAGGGAGGGAGGGATTTATTCTGATTATTTTCAATATTTTCTTCCTATTATTCCC